CTGGCATTCTCAATCGCTCTTACTTGTACCTCGACGTGATGGGAAGGCTGGAAGGGTATGGACGTCGGCCATAGCGAATTGCGGTTGTATGGATGAGTACTTAATCGAAATTCCGAATGCTGGCACTGGTGTCAAATCCCTCGCTTCAGCTTGTCTAGTTTGTTTGCTATAAGCGTTGCATTTTGGGCTTTCTGCCATGCTTTTTCATGCTGGATGATTTTCACCGACTCAAGCTGCAGATGTACTTTGAGCGCTACAGTCATCAGACCAAGTACCGGCTAGGAATAAAAGACGGAATACGCCAGAAAGGGGGGTCTATTGTTCACACAAACGGAAGTTGCTATCTCAGGCAGCGGTGACGCTGACAAGACCAGAGACTGCTGTAAAAACGTGAAGACAGTAGGCTAAAATGAGGTGGAATATTGGTGAAACACGTGTTTGGGTCATTAGCTAGCAGGTGCACTGCCAGTATTTGTTATATCGTGTAGCCTCATTATGTACTAACAGCTGCCTGTTGACAGCTTAATAGATATGACGCGGTGATCCGGAAGTGGCTGCTGGAATTCAGTCCAAATTTTCACATCAACTTTCGGTCTGCGTCTCTGAACCCTTACATATACCGGTTTACTCCAAGTTAGTGATTAATTTATTATAGAAATAAAAAGCAACAATTTCAGAACTGGAGTATCCACGAAAAAGCACATAGGAAAGGTCGGGGGATCCAGTGATGCGCCGAATACCTTGCAGCTACGTAATGCAGCGGCCAAATATCGGCGAAACACGTGTCTGGACTTTCGACTAATACCTGTGCTATCACTATCGTGTATTGTGCAACCTCAATATATACTACTGGCTGCCTGTTGGCAATGGCAGGAAAAGTACGCAGTTATCCCGCGGTGTCTGGTGGGCTTTGGTCGAAATATTCATATCAAATTTCGGTCTGCGTCGACTGACCTTAGATAATACCGGTTAACTCCAACTTGCAGAGCCATTTCTGAGGAAATTAAAGAGGATGGGCTTAAGACCTTTTCTAGAAAGTAATAACTATTCAAATAGAAATAGACCATTTTCGCCAAACCTGTATGTTTTGACAACAGACATTATTTGCACGAAAGTTCGTCAGAAGTAACAACGCCAAAAGCACTATCTCGCATGAAATTTTAGACAATAAACGAGCAGCACGGTAACGTCTTGAACTTACCATACGAGGCAGTTTGGAGGCTGCGGTTTCACTTACCTTATCACCTTTTGCCCTACGTTTCCCACGCGGCTGTCAACTTTTAGGTATGTTGACCATCTGAAGAGCGTGAGATGCAAATTTGGATTAGTAATCCTCTTGTCGTTGAACAAACTTTTGTTCACACAGGCGGGATCCTGAGCGTCAAGGACATTTATGTGAACTCGGGCTGCGCACCAAAGTATTCATTGTTCTTTGAGTTTTGAGACGCAGTTTTGCATGAGATTCCTGTGCATCGGTGAAATGGAATCCTGGTCGAGCTTCTCCAGCGGCTTTGTGTTTTCCTGGATGTCATGGTAAGTGGGTGGTATGTGGTTGTCGACCCTATCAAGGTTCGACTTAATTGAACCGCCCAATTCCTCCATTGTTATCAACCCCTCTCCCGCAACTTCGCTCATTTTTGCATTGCTACCGTAGCTTAGGCTTTCCATCAGAATTGCTTGTCAGCGGTAATGGCTCAATTTGCGGACGTACATTGAGCACCGCAGTCATCAGACCAACTCCCGGATAGGAATAAAAAACGAAAGGGGAATCTATTGTTCATTGAAACGGAAGTTCCTGCCTGGGGCAGCAGCGGCACTTGTGAGATGATGAAGCGCGTTGAGAGCTCAAAGACCTGCCGTAGGGCAGGAGTAATTGACTTTATATTCTGAATGGTCGGAATTCTGAATATTCTGAATGTGAGGCCCAGGCAACTGAATAAAAGACAGTAAAAACTTCCTCTGGGTCCAGTGGTTTATTTCTCCGATGCTTCGAACTCTCCCGCGAGCTCATTATCAAGGAATGAAAAAATGTACAGTTCAGGTCGGGCAACGGTGACCCCATTAGTGCACCTTTAACTTGTTCATATACCTTTCCATTGAAGGTGAAAAAGGTGCTCAAGTAATGTTTCAGGAGTCCGATAAGATGCCTTATTTTGAGCTTCGTGTCCGTCTCGTTGTATTTCTCTTCTAACAGGGTTTGGGTGGTTTCAACTACCAGAGGTGAAAAATGAGTTCACATAGAAAGGTACCATCACTTCTTCATGTGCTAGTCGAATACTCTGCAGCTTTCGTATGAATTGTTCAGCTGAGTTGACGCTCATTGCAGAGCCCTGAGTTAGACAATTGAGAGGTTGAAACAACAACTTGACTAGGCCACATTTTGGGGTGCCTCTGAGGGCAGTGACCGGTCGTAGGGGGATTCCTGGTTTGTGGGCCCTGGGGAAGCCATAGAATCTTGGGAGCGCTACATCCTTTGGCTTTATCTTTTGCCTATGTTATTGCCTTTGACTTCCAAAGTCTTGACAGATCCTTGTTGATACTGCTGATTAGCGTCTTCATTGCGTCATCTTCCCAAGGGATGTAGGCAGTTCGATCGTCCAAAAGGGTCTCGACATTGTTGACGACGCCTTTATATGTGCGTCGCAGGTAGGCTGAGACTGTGGGTGATGTAAACTAGCGTGTGCCGGAGTGAGGCGGCGATGGCTTTGACTGTTTGGACGATCCTGCAGACACCTGCGTTCGGGTATTGCTAGCTAGCTGGCCGATGACAGCTAATGAACCAGAAATGGACATTTCAGTCTCCCATTTCTTTGTCAGTAAGCTATTTCGGCCTTTAATATGCTGCGCATTGAGCCGCTGCTGGTGGGGATCGATAGCGAGAAACGTGCGTCCTGTATCCGGTTGGTGAGCAGCCATCTTCGATTGTTAATATTCCCGATCGAAAACGGCAATGCAAGGAGCCCTTAACACAGTGATTAGAGAGTTGGACCTCTAGCGGGTTCGAGATTTGGGTGCCGCATGACCTGGGACTGAATATGACTGGTTGATGATGACATAACCCAGAAATGGTTATTCCAGTCTCCCTTGTCTTTGCCGGTAATGCGGTTCTGCCTATATCACTAGCAGGGTCTTAGGAAAAGCCCCAAGGCATGTTGGGACCAGTGAGTCCGGTAACGTACCAGTGAGCGCCGATATAACTGTCTACCATATCATATATGCATACCCCCTCCGATCTATAACATATATGTATATGAAATGGATCCGATAAAGCAAAGGGAGATCTGAATGGCCATTTCTGGCCTGTTAGCCGTCATCAGCCAGTCATATTCAATATCAAGGCTTCGAACCCCGAGATTTGAACACGGGAACTTTGGTCATTGAATTCAATAATCTATCCACGAAAGCAAGGAGCCCGTGGCGCCGTGGTATAGTATTAAACTCAATAACCGAAAGTCCCGGAAAAAAATCGCGGGGATTCCAAGCCT